CACTTACCGGCAAAATTTAACACTATCATTTACTTAGGGGCCGTTTACCAAACACTTACTCGGTAAGCACTTACCGGCAAAATTTAACACTATCATTTACTTACCGGGTAAAATTTTAGTCCACCAAAACGACATTGTATGCAACAATTTACCCGGTAAGCGCTTACCGTGGTAAGAGTCGTCGTCCTCACTTACCGGGTAAGACTCTTGGTCCTTGTCTCGTTCTTACCGAGTAAAATTTTTGGTTCTTATTATATTCATCCGGTAAAGTAATGTGACTTACTAAGCGCTTATCCAGGTAAGACTTTAGTAAACGGCCCCTTAGTAGACACTTACCCGGATAAACGTTTGATAAACGGCCCCTAAATGATCGAGTATAAAAGACGAATGTTTTCTAGCCGAGCGATTAAGCCATCAGCTAAGCGAATAAACTACAACCAAATAACTTTTTATAAGTGAGTAAATAATCCATACATACCAAACAACCCCGGGTTCATTCTCATGGATTATTTTATGAACTTGATAAATTGTTTTTAATCTTTGTTCCCTACTTTTAAGAACATTTTTTAATTTTTAAAGTTAATGTTTTATTTTAATAATAATAAACCAATAATGTTTCTTGTCGATATATATTCTTTTAATTATTAAGTTGTTTGTTTACCTCTTAATAGTTTCATTAAGAGACAATTTCTGAATCGTTAAGAGGTGAATCTTGTTTGACAAAAAAAAGTATGTCTCTTAATCGTTCTAAAACCCTCTGAATGATTTTGTATAACCATCCCTTAACCATTAAACGTCCTATTTTCATTGTAAACAATTACCAAACAATTATATTTCATTTTGTCGTATATCATGAGAGGCTCTTAATCATTCTGCATCAAACCATTCAACAACTATCAAACAACCCCTAATTATGATTACTGATTAATTAAAAATAGAATGCCTCCGATCTAAAAATATTTGAATTGAGTTATAGTAAACGTCAAAAAAAAAAAAAAAAGAAGATGAACAGTTCATTTAAAGCAAAGAGTTGCTATTAATCGATTTATTATCAAATAAACATCGAAATATTCAAGTAATGGATGGGTTTGCCTGTGCGCTTAATATTTTGTTTATGGAGTTGATATTCAACTTTGAAGCCTTTCAGATGAGTGATTTGTGCGTTAAGTTGTTCAAGATGGTTGGTTCGAGGTTGTGATTGCTAGAAACCGAAGATATTTTAGGGGTTTATTATTATTATTATTATTATTATTATTATTATTATATCATAATTATTTTGACCAAATTCGTTTAAATTTGTGTTTCAACTTCATACATTCTTGAGATAATGTATCGTGTTTCTATTTATATTTGATTAGTCATCATCATAAGAGATATGGAAACCGGTGGTGCAGCCAGATGCATCGGGTTCCTCTGCTCCACAGCAATCATAGAATTTGGCAGCATAGGGTGGGTCATCAGGTCCCAGTTCATAGTACCTTCAAAAAGTGGACATAAATAAGTTATCAATCTGCATTTGTAACTTAAGATCCACGCATAATCTACAATGTGCCCAAATCAGTGTTCATGAATTCGTAAACGTTATGGACTCATAGTTTCACGAATTCATAAACGCTATAGACTCACGATTAAAACGAAGTTGTAAAATTGCATTTCTAAGTTCTATTTTAAATGTTCAACAAAAAACTATTTTTATAATAAATAATCTATATGATTTTTCTTCTTCTAATATGAATGTACATTTTTCAATATCATTAGCCGATTAGAATAATATATAGAAAACATACATGTGTATATATAATTCTATATATAACATACAAATTTTCCGCCTTATTTCATGCCTTGAAAAACACCGCGCCCTTACCGTGGCGTGTAACGCTTGAGGCTTGACCTTGCCGCTATGCTACGCCACGCCTCACGCCATTTGAACCTTGGCTCAAATACACATAACCAAACCAAACCGACCCAGTAAATCCCACTCGAAAATGTGGTTTTTTTGGGGGGGAGGGGATATTTACTAAGTTATACTAAGACCTGACCTCTACCTCGAAGAGTAGAGCAGCTACATCTGTGAAGGCCTCCGACTGGTGCAAAAGTAAGAACAAACAGGTAGAAGGAACAAGGACTAGCACATGGTGAACATCGAAGAAAAGTAAGGGAGAAAAAGTAACAAGTTGGTATACTGAAAACATACAAAAAGTAAGGAAATGACACATGTAGAAACCTATCCCTTCGGTACAAAAATTATCTAAATTTCAATCATTTTCTCAAAACAAGAAAAGTCGCTTCATTTGATCTTAAGGAATGAAATCTACACACCAAAGTTCATATCTAGTGACGTGGTGACCATATACAGATTGCAAATATCAATGATCTTGTTTTTATATATAATACGTGCTAAAAACTATCATTCTTCTTCATAGAAAAGACACAGATTTTGTCCAAACTACAGATTGTCACCTGAACATATAATCACACAGAAAGAAACAGTGTGTAAAACAATGCATCAACGGAATATGTGACTCCTTCCTCCGCTTCTTAAATCTTAGGTTCCTCGCCATGCATACAAAGTCATCTGACTTTGCAGAAAAAAGGATGCATTGCCATTTACATGACACAGCAATCCTGAAGTCTGTCTATGCAAAGAGTGGGCCAATGCTGTGCATAAAGAGTGATCATGAAAGCAAGCCATTCACATTGACCGAATGTAATCCAACTCATCATTTACATTACAAATCAATGGTTAACGGTTCATAATTCTTCTCATTTTTTATCCCTTTTTACGCACAGTTTGCACAGGCTAAAGGCTTCATGGAAACAACCGCTTTACCCTTTGGGGTGGAGGTCAGTTCTGCATACATCTCACCCCCCAAACCTCGCCTTCGGGTGGGATATACTGGGCTTGATTGGTTTGGTTTAGTTTGGTTAAAGGGTCATAAGTGCCCCGTCTTCATATAATGTCTACAAAATAACATCATACATACAAAATAATGCTAGACACTGTTTGCAGGAAGTACTCTTCAATAGACAGTGCAAACATAATGTGGAAATTATGTTCCTCTAAAAACATAACTGGAAGGAGCTACAATATATCAACCATCATCGTGTTACAAGTGAAATCACCATTCGTTAGGTTGTTTAGTGGTTGTACATCTAAGACGGATTACATGTGTAGCTTTGCAGTGCCTTAAAGTAGAGGTTGTAACTACTCATCTGATAAACAATGTATGCACATTCTCTCTACCAAAAACAAAGTGAAAAAAGGCTAGTTTCTTTACAAGAAGGCTATACGGTAATTCAGCAAAAACCAAGTTCTTCAACTTTTCTAGGATTTCATCCAGGGACGGACCCAGAAATTTTTTGAAACGGTGGCATCATTTGACTATAAGAAAAAAGTATAGGGAAAAATTTTCAAACGGTGGCACCGTTTGACTATAAGAAACAAATATACGGAATTTTTTTCAAACGGTTGCACCATTTGACTAAGAAAATGACACTAACAGGATTCGAACTTGGGTCTGGGGTGGAATAAAAGCCTTGCAAACCAACTCTACCAAATAAAAACTTCGTCTCATTGTGGTTTTGAAATACATACGATGACACACAACAAATTAATACGGTTGCACCTTTCACGAACCTAAATTCTTTTACCCTTCGACAGAGGAATAATACGGTGGCACGTGCCACCGTATGCACCACTATAGGTCCGTCCCTGATTTCATCATGCTTCATAAATGGAATAAAATCCATGGTATCAAAGGATATTTAAGTATTTATGTATTCTATTCAAGTACAAGTCAACAAGATCTATCTACCCTTTACCTCCATAACCAATGAAAGGCGCAAGTGGTGCCTTGTTCACTACCAGGTGGAAAATATGGAAAAAGTTTGTAGCCAAAAACTTTAGGTAGAAGTAGGATACATATTTCAGCGTCCAAATGTTCTCCAAGATATCAAAACCCAAGACAACAGAAATATAGTGTCTAAGGGGCAGAGAATTTATCTTATCTGATAATTATTTTACCCTTGAGACCTAACTTGACTAACAGCTTTCGGTTATAACCAATTGGGTGAGAGGCCTACCTCTATGTATGGGGTCACTATAAATAATTGTGTAGTTTGTTCAGAGATGTTGAAAGTAGGAACAAGGCACTCTCTGCTTTCACCCATCATTTCTCTCTGTTTCTCATCTTAATTCTCGTTGGTTGCAACTCAAATAATACTAATGTGCAATAAATGCTATATGATGAATTTAGCAATCCATTAATCAATTATCCTTGAAGGTGCTAGATGAGGCTAAGGGAAAACTCAAGCAGGAGAATCAAGTCATGGGGATACGACTACAGGGATTGGATGCTACCTCTCAAATATAAATTGGGATGATGGCTACATGAATAAGAACCATTCACATCTAGGTAGTTTAGAATAGAAGGTTGACTGAAAGTTGAAAGGGAACCCTTAGGTTCATTAAGAATAAGGGAAACATGATGGAAGTTGGTTATGGTGGATTGGTGGGCCAAAAAGGAAAGTGACCAGAGACCTGTTGTCCAACCACCTAAGGTTCAGTTTATGTACTTCGACGATGAGGATCCCAGGGGGTGGACTAGAAAAGGTGATCTCTTATATTCATTTGGTCTATATCCAAAACCAGAAGGTAGACGTTGCCAACCTTCATCAAATCGGTAATTATTATGGTCCCAATCATACGTTATTGACAAATTCAAAGTAGGATGGGAGAAGCCTTGGAAGAACACGCCAACTAGATTAAAAGGAGAAGGTATTTAAAGCCCTATTGCAACTTCAGAACTCAAAGCAAATTCCCATTGCCACAGAGTAAATAAATTTGAGCCGATTTGAACTGTGTTGCCTGTGGTGTCTCCAGGTTTTGAGTAGATATATTTGGTTGAAACCTCTGTAACAGGGTTAGGAGAGGATATTTGTCTTTAGGTTAAATGACGGGGCCAACCATCCGCATCCAGGCTATGGAGCTGACTAGGGGGCAAGAGCTAGTAATCAACATCTAAAAAGATAAGTGTATTATAGTAGGAGTTCTAAACTTAGTACTGTCCCGAGTTATGGAGAGAACACATATGCAGTAAAGCCAAGCTATACATTATGACAGCAGCTGAGCAATAATTTATCAGCTTAGAAAGAGAAGAAAATGATCAGGCAGAAGTACTCAGAAACAAGGGGGGGGGGGGATCTGTGAGTGCCATTAACTGGTGGTATGAGGCACGACAACCTAAGGGCCTTCATACTTGGCAGGTGCAAGAATCATGTGTTCAATATACAAGTTGATGGTGAGTAAAAAGAACTTCCTGGATGAAAGTGAGAGAAAGTGTAGCATGCGAGACAAATAAGGTAATAACTACAACAGATGGTGACATAACAGAGAGTAATATGGAGTTCATAGTTACAGCTGATGGAACATAACAATGAGTAACCAAGTGCTGGATACAGCCGATAAGGGGCTAACGGTTCTCCACATTGAGGCGGTGTTGCTGAATTTTGGATGACTGTGACATGGTCCTAGGAATTCATTGATCAGAATAACTTGGTCTCATGCAAATAGATTTTCAGAAGAGGGTGATCTTCTGTTGGCAGCGGGAGAGAGTTTGGTGCATGGTACAGGACTACAGGTCATACGAATGAGCTAAAATGCACAGGGCTAAGTATATGTTCAGACGCCCAATGCAATTGTAGCCCAGCTAAGAGTCTTGCAAGTTGCAAGCTAGGAAGTCGCTGTCACAGAGAAGTTGTCAGGCCGATGTGATTCAACTCATTGAAGGCAGAACTCCAGTCAACCTTAGGCCTTATAGGCACCCAATCGTTAATCAGAAATTGGCAAGTTGGTTATGGAAATGCTTAATAGGAATAATATAGCACAGCAACTCGCCTTACAGCTCATCAGTCATCTTGGTTAAAAAAAAGATGGCAATTTGAGGATGTGTGTTGATCACAGGGAATCCAACAAAGTAACAATTAAAAACAAATACACGATTCTTGTTATGATGAGTTCTCAAATGAGCTGGGAGAGGCCAAAGTGTTTTCCAAGCTAGCATTTAACAAATAAGAATGGCAAAAGATGAAGACTGAAGAGTATATGATAACCATTACCAGCCATGGTGTACACTATGAATTAGGGTGATGCCCTTTAGTCTGACCAACACGCTGGCAACCTTTCAAGTGCTTATGAACTGTGTATTTGCAGTTTTTTCTTATGACACGCATGTTTATAGTAGCACTAAGGAGGAACAAAAGTTGCATTTACAGCAGGTCTAGAGTATTCTTATAAATCAACAACTTCATGACAAGGGAAATAAGTGTTGGTCAAAGGCAATTGAATACTTAGGCGCACTGTTTCTTATAAGGGGTTAGTTGTTGATTGAGAGAAGATTGAGCATATGCTTGCATGGCTAAGGCCTAACAACATTAAAAGAATAGGAGGTGAGGGTCTTAGGCCTTGCTAGTTAGTACAGGAAGTTCGTGAAAAGTTGTGGTATCATGTGTAAAATCCTCATTGAACTACTTAAGAAAGGCAGCTTAATTGGACTCATTTGATAGAAGATGCTTTTACAAGAAGAAAGCAAACTACCGGTTTATATTATCAAGCCCTTGGGTAACAGGAATCAAGGTTTCTCCACATATGAGAAGGAACTGCTGACTGTGGTCTTAACAAATTACTGAATGGTGCCATTATTTAAGGTTTAGCCAGTTTGCTATTAGAACAGATCATCAGTCCCGGAAGCACATATTGATTAGAGGCTCACTGCTGTTTTGTGACAGCAATTATGAAACTCATAGGTCAGGTTGGACTATGAGATGCGATTCAAAAAAAGGACAGGAGAATTTGGCAGCAGATGGATTGTCAACATGACATGAATAAGCAGGGGAGTTGTAGTGTATATGCTTATGTGCCTACTTGCGAACTGGAAATAACAAAGTTGGGCAGGTGATGACAAAGTGCAGGAGTTATTAGTGGAAGAACCTTAAGTAGACAATGAGAGTCCTACTGTCCTAGAGGTATTAAATGCAGAAAGGGTAGCCTATGTATAGGGGGAAGCTTTACTTGGGAAAAATAGGAAATTTGTGGTCATCACTAATAAAAGTGTCACATGCTTCAGGTGTTGGAGGACGTTCATGAGCCCAACTTGCATGAAGGTGGAGACCCTGCCATAGCATCCAAATATCCTGAAATGCACTTAGCTTCACCCTCCAAATGCATAGTAGCCAAATATATCTTTTGATAATGAGTAACAAAATGGTGGTGGAATATCTATTTACACTTACTTATCCACCATTGGGTTGATCCACATGAAAATGAGTAAATTTTGATTTGAGGGTTCTGAAAACAGGCGGATCTGTAGCTACCATCAAACTTGCCACCCCACTCCCAATAGTTTCTTTTTATAGAAAATACATGCGAGTTGATGCACATTCTCTCTCCAAAAAATGGAAAGACGGTGAGTTTAGTGGTCTCCATAGATTTAGTCTTCAAAATAGTTTAAGCATTATGACCTCCCTTTCCGGCGGGTTTTCCTTCCCTTAGACTGTGGCAATTCCTCATTCATTTGGCCCTTTGAACCACCACCATTGCTTCAGAATCCCACCTTATCATCCAATCCTTTTTGAAATTCCACTGACCATTGCACTCAAATCAGCAGTTTCTGAACAACCACATTTTGTTCTTGGATGTGAGGCTCAAGATTACATTTGTCATCAGGTACTCATGACTCAACTCCACTGATACCAACTGCTACAAGTAGGGACGAATGTGGTAGAATATAATCAAATGGGAGAGAACATGAAGAACAAAAAGAAAAGAATGGGGAAGAACCGGCTATCATTTCCAACATAGTTCTCATAACAGAATGTCTCCTTCCAAACTAAGTGACAATGACAACCGTCCAGCCCATTTTGCTCAAAAGTTCAAACATCAGTTGCAGCAATTATCCTTCTAACAATCTTGCCTGCCACTATCTCCTATTCATACCTGGTTTTGTCTTTTAATAAATAAAAACACATGCTTCGGTTGATCAATTAATTGCAAAATAGTTATCACCTATTGACCTTGGGATTTCTTACCTCACACTGACTTCTAGCAATTAGTTTCTTATCAAGAAAAATAACACTAAAAGTCATTTGAAAATTGCCCTCTTCTCAACCCCACTGCCCCTATCAATTAGGTTCTAATCAAGGTAAAAAAGCAAAAAGAGATCTCAATGCTAATTTTCAAATAAACAATGGTAGCCAAAAACTTTAAATCATTACATATGAAAGAGGAATCGTTCCATCTAAGAAGACCGCATATTTCAAATATCGTCATTCCTTTCATCATGGTAAATAAATCACCATTTTTCCCTCTTTGAAATGATGCAATAATTTGGGAAATAAGTAGTAGCAGTAGTATCTCGTAAAGCATCTAAAGAGGAAGTTCATCATAATCGAAAGGCAAGAAACATACCTTTTCTGATCGTCGTGACGTCGACAGACGAAGAACGTAGGATGGAATCGGCAAGCAGAAGGGTTGTTCGAAGACGGGCTGTAAGTTGCTTTACACCTCTTGCATACCACCTGCTCCCTCTCTCTTTTATCTTCTTGTTTGATTGCCATCACTTGCCCGTTTTCAACCTTATCCATCGTTTCTATACAACCGCCGTGATCTCGATAATTTTGTGTTGTCAACCAACCCTTTATTACTTTAACAGACTGATTTTCCGGCCACCGTCCAACGCCATACGAATTTAGAGTAAACTACATCTTTTGTCCCTGTGCTTTGTTGGAAATTGCCATTTTTGTTCTTCTGTTTTTAAAATTGCAATTTTCGTCCCTGTAGTTTACAATTGATTGACTTGTTCCTCCTTGTCGTTTACAATTGATTGCTTTGTTTCGAAAGTTTGATGGTTTTTAAAGATTAAGTAGGTTGAATAACGATTTTTAAAGTATAGCATCCATATTAGAAACAAAATGAAAGTACGATAGTCTACCCATATACCTATTTTTTGTATTCAGTGTTGGTGATTTTAACGTCATCAATCATTTTGGTGTGACTGTGGTTCACTCGAGATCGATTAGAGTCATAAGAAAAACATAAATAGGTTAGGAGGTGTCGAGTGCACACTCACAAATGTTACCCCTATCACCTTAGTTTGCTATAATGGCGGGGGTCAACGGAGTCGCGCCCGCTAACGGGGTTCCAAGGGGCAGAGTTTAGTGTAAGTATGAGTCTGAGTAGAGAAATTAGAAATCGGATCCTTGGGATCATATTTCTGAAGTTACCTTGGAAAATCGCGTCCTTAACTCTGGACTATAGAGTCAGAGATCTGGACTTTGCATCCAGACTTGTGATCTGGAAAAAGTTTTAAGTCTGGAACTTTGAATAATACGTCCAAGCTTAGCATCCTTTGCGTTCAGACTTATGGTCTAGAAATTCCACTAAGTTTGACAACTTTGGAACATGGAGTCATAGTTCGTGTGCTTAGACTCGGACTTGGACTCAGAGTTCGGGTATTTGGAATCAAACTTCGGTCAGAACTCTAATTCGGTTTTAACGGCTTTTCAACCTTATCCATTAACAGTTATCACCGTATGTAACTGTCGATCTCTCATATAAATGTGTAATCCTAGAATCTAGGGTATATAATCTCGATTTTCACATCGAAAAGAGAGAAAAAGTCAAGGATTATCCCAATTATTCACGAACCCAAGGCTGTTAGGGTCGAATTATTGTATTTGGAAAGTGTCTACATGCGATTCTTTGAGATTATCCAGACCCGTTATCATCTCCACAACCCTGTTTCTAACATCCACATCAACATCACTTGTAAATGTCAACTTAGCAATATAACATGTACCTTTTATCAGTTCACCAGTTACCTAAAACAACCGGTTTTTAAAAGTCTGGAAAAGTTTGAAAAAACCAACAAACTTTCTGATTTTGAGTGATTAAATCATTGGACAATTTTTTTTACCCAAAAAGATTTTGGACTTTCCAAAATCGAGTATCGACCTATAAAATTGACATGTAATTGATTATATCAGTAAAAATGATTTAAAGTAAAAAAACGAAAATGTAGAACAAAACCCAGATTTTTTTTGAAGTATATAATATTTATATACGGCAAATGCAACAAAATAAACTCATACACCCTCCTCACCGTTGGTGAGGTTTGAACCCTTGACCTCCTAGCTAGGCCAAAGGCCCTTTGGTACATGACAAAACTCAATGCCCACATTTAACACAATATGAGATAGAACAAAAACTTACTATTCCACATTTGACATGACATGATGACAAACTAAGTGGGACTGGATGTGACAAAAATGTGTTTTTTGTTCCACCAAGATACATGGAACAAGATGGGACAAGAATTGGACATAACCAAAAAAATTATTAATCTACCCTTATATAATATAATCATAATATGGTATTTGGTTATAATAGTCACCACCGTTTATCACCCGCCGCCACTACCTGTAACATACATTTTTGCAAATACGTTGCAATTATCCCCTTTATACGTGTTTATGTGATCAMAACGTAAAATTTGGAAGCAAACCCGAATGCAATAAACTATATATGAAATAGTCGGAATCATCGTACGAGGCCCGGGGCAAAACAATTGGAAAGAAACGGGTCAAAAACATCAATATCTACGTTACGGATACATAAAAACTGACTTTTATTGGAAGATATTTTTTGAAATATTTTTATTGTAAGTTGTAGATTATCTCTTTACGAACGCGTGAGCGAAAACCACGTCAAAAACGGAGGTTCGAGCGAAAAGTTATGCGATTTTTAGTGATTAGTGGTCAAACCGAGTTTTCAGCCGAGTCAACTCAGCCCCAACTCGTAAAAGTCGGTTATACATGTTATTTACCTTCTTTTTTACCCAAAACAGACTCTCATCTCCAAAACTTACTACCAGGGGTGATTTTGGCTTCATARGGGTGAATCAAGGTTGTTTCAAGGGGGTTTTGCTTGATTTTTATGCCAAATTCATCCTCCAATTAAGGCATAACTATTTCATTGGTTAATCTTTTGATTTGAAGCTAGTTAGAGATGACATCAATGAAACCTAATCTGAGTTATATTAGYAATATGTTGTATTTAGATTGGTTATAGCCTAACTAAGTTGTTATGATGCTTGATTGATGATTTGGAGCTTTCGAAAATAAAGAACATATGTTGAACTTTTATTTTCTTCATTAATGACTATTTTGGTGAAATTCTTGAGTATTGATCTTGTAATCAATAATATAAACATGGTTAGATGGTATTTTGATTGTTGAAATAAAGATTGAATCCAAAATATGGATTTTAGCCTATTTAGTTGGTGAATTTGACAGCACCGAATCTATCCGAGATGCTATTTTGAATGTGCGATAACTTCTTAACCGTAGCTCGGATTGCTACGATTCTGGATATTTTAGAAAGCTTATATGTAGATCTAAACCTGTCCTTTAGACACCTTTTAGAAATAAGGCTTCTAGGTTGGTTATAATTGCATCTAAAAACTGATAAAAAGTTGATTTTGAGCTGTGAATTATAATGACTAAAATGAGTTTAAATTAAGTTTGGTTAAGTTTTTGTTGTCGGATCTTTATGAAACTTTGGGTACATATTACAGGTGTTAAATAAGCTCACTTGGTCCTTCCAGAGTGACCGTTGGACGATGTTTAGACGTATATGGACGTAGAGCCTAAGTTGGCTCGATTTTTGAGTATCGAAAAGCACTGTGAGTTTATGGGGCTACTTAACTTGCTATTTGCTAGACATGTRTTATCTATTTGTTACTTGCTTCCACACTCATCCATGTTATGTCTCCTTATCAATTTCAAGAAATTATTGGCTATTGCACTCCGTCCTTCCATACGTGCTACTTGGTAGTTACTTTGTGTTTTACCCGGGGAGGCACGCTTAAGCCCATATTAGCTGAGATTACTCGGGTATGGTGCGTATTTGACAGTGTTAGAGTCCGGTCATTTTCCCCATTGTCCGGGATAGCTCGGGTGGGAAGATCATTCCACTGGCCGGGATAGCTCGGGTAGTATGAAATCTATGATATATATTGTTGTGCTTGCCACGATCGGGATAGCTCGGTGGCAGTACATATCAATTATTGACCTTCACACGATCTAGTTGCATACTTTGATATTCAGATGTATGATTCTCGAATGATGATTACTTATTACATGATTTACATCCTTCGTGATCATTGACTTCCATGGATTACATTTGTGAAGCTTTAGTAGTTAGTAGTTCCCGTTTACTTACTAAGCATTATGTGCTTACCCTTTTAGTTGTTCACATTTTTACAGGCTGTGTAGATAAGGCAAAGAACAAGCTCGAGTAGATTGAGATATTTGCTTTTGGTGCTTCCAGTAGCACGACTCTTTTGGTATTATATAGTTAGTCGAATACAACCATGGATTGTAAATTATTAGTTGTCTTTTGGTTGTAATTAAAGTATCTAGATAACGGGTAGCTAATGTCCTCCGTCTTGTATAGTTTAAGCTTTATGCAAATCTATTAAGTTTATTTTGTCCGTTTTAGGATATTTTGGAAAACAGGTGCTTACGGAAACGTCTTGTAAACCAAGCAGACATTTCGAATTAGAAACTCGTAAATATTATATCCCGTTTGCTTTCTAAAGGTTTAAAAATGTAACATTTGGTGGTTTGTTTATCATTTATAGAAATGAGGTATCACAAACCTTTTATCATTTATGTAATCTGGGTCTTTCAATTTGATATCAGAGCGGTGGTTTAAGTGAACTGGATACCAGCGACGGTATCCGGACTTAAACCTTGTGTCGGTATCATGTAGTAAGTATGTTTTGATTTAAACGGGATATGAACTTAAGAGAAACCTAGGTGGAAATTGGGAATTGTTATAGGATTCTAATTAATGTTATGTATACGTCGTAACTTTCAGAAAGATGGCAGACGGCGATGAAGCTAGTCACACCCCATCTAACGACAATGTAAGAGAAAAATGCTCCACACCTGGATATTTATGATGATGAGGCACCGATGTCTCCTCGAARCGAACGTTTGATGCAACGTATGACTTTATTAATTCAGCAAACGTTAGCCCAACAACGACATGATGATAAAAAGTCTGAAGATGATAAAAGTAAAGGTAAGGAGAAAGAAACGGCTGACACCTCAAAACCCAAAACTGACCGAGTCTCTTTTAAAACCTTTCGTGGTAGCGGTGCTACTGAGTTCTTTGGGAAGGTTGATCCTTTGGAGGCACTTGAATGGATATTGAATACTGAGAAGGTCTTTCGTATCACACGAGTGTTATGTGATGATAAAGTGAATTATGCAACGGCCATGTTCAAAAGTAGGGCCTTGATATGGTGGAATGCTACTTTTGCAGCTTTAGGTGAAACTGAAAAAGAAGGTATGCCTTGGGAGTCTTTCAAAACTCGATTTAACAAGCAATATTGTCCAATTGATCTACAAAAACGATTGGAGAAGGAGTTTATCATTTATAGAAATGAGGTATTACAAACCTTTTATCATTTATGTAATCTGGGTCTTTCACTGCCAGCCTCGATGATGGCCACCGCCAACCACGTCCATAATCACCATCTCCACTACCGTCAGTTACCACTACCTATCACCACCTCCACCTCATCCACAACTACTACCTCCATTCCATATTCACTACTATCGGTCGTCACCATCGCCCATTTCCCTTTGTTTTATTCTGTCTTATCTAGTTCTATCTATTCCAGTCCAATCTTGTTTGCTTACCAAATGCTACCTAAAGGATCTGAGCATCTACATTTGCTACGAACAAAACCCAGAACCCACTGTCCCCCCCTCTCTTTCTTTCTCTCTCTCTCTCTCTCTATATATATATATTTCTACATCTACTTCAAAGCCACCATCATTGTTGTTCGAATGGTTAAATGAGAATGATGCAAATTCCTAATGATTCTTTGTTTTGCCAATGAAATGTGTATATGAAGGTCGATTATGTTACAAAGGATCCATGCTTCATCGTCACTGAGTATAGATAAGAACCGTAACACATTAGTGGGTGTAAATTGCTAAATAACTAGTGTGTGGCACTGCACCTTGCGCTATGATAATACTTTTGTTCAGAAAATATGGAAGTTAGTAAAATAGGTCGATGATCACGTATCATATATTACATTAAAAAGAATCAATATTACATTTGATATATAAATCCACCTTATCATCATTTGTTGTTCTTTAATATATAATACTTAAGAGTCGAAGTGGGCTTAAACTGTTATAATGTTTTCCACATCGCCTGTTGAATTATTCATTGAGCGATGAAACGGTGCTCATCGCCCAATGAAGATTTGAAGAACTGTGCGATAATGTGTGCTCATCGAACAGAATGTAAATTTGATAACTTGCTTTGAGTGATAACCTTGGACTTAGATGAATTTTGACAATGTTTTGAGCGATAAAGAATGCTCATCGCTCAAGGCTTGTCCGGAGAAGCTATGATCATCGTCTAAGTCTTGTGCGATAAAGATGAATCCGCTTATAGTGGTGTCCGATGAAGGCCCTCATCGCTCAATGTAGCAAGCGATGAATTCTTGGTCAGTGATGACCTTGTTACTTTGTGCGATAAAGTGTTGTCCCGAGAGTGCTCCTCATCGCCTAAAGCTTCAAGCGATGAGTTCCTTATCTTGTGCGATGAGATTGAAAGTTATTTTGGATGATTGATGAAATCGCTCAATGTTATGTCCGATAACCATTTTTCATCGCCTAAGCGGTGAGCGATGACTTTGCTCATCGCCTAAGGCGTGAACAACAAGGGATGTTTCTTCAAGCCTATCTGCCTAAGGCATGGGTGATAATAATGTTCCTATGCTCATCGCTCACTACTAGAGTACTTGTCCGAATTGACTCTTGAGCTTAATTGTGTGCTTAATGGATGTCTTAATCCTATTTTCCATGATCTTAATGATTAAAGTGATGTTTTTACCTTTTTGCCCTTAAGAGCATCATATAACATTTTTGGTCAACATTGACTTTTATGTCAAAGTTTGACTTTCTTGGTCAACCATCTTGTGATTAAAGCCTAAAGACGGATTTGTCAAGATTTTAGAATTGTGTTATTGGTTTCAGTATTTGGATGGACTAGTTGGAGTTTGAGGATTTGCAATCATTATTCTCGAGTTTTCTATAAAAGGCTAGAACATTGAGTGCCTTCACTCATTTCTTTTGACCTAATCAATCAGAGGTCTTGAAGGTATGCAATCAGTGTTCTGGAGGTTCTGGAATTAATAAGATTTTTTAGTGTTTTCAGTCATGCTTCTAACCTGATCAATTAGAGGTTTGATAGTCTACAATCATTATTTTGGTGCTTTGGTTGTGATCTACGAACTTTGAGTGCCTTTAATCATTCTTCTGGCTGGGAATTTTCGATCCGATTATGGTATTCAGTTTTTTGGAAGATATAAAGAAATCGACTTATCTATCTGGTTTGACTTGCTGTTCTTGAAGCTGTGTGCATACTGTTGATTCTTCTCACCGATTCTACAAAGTCAAAGGTGTTTGTTTTGGTACTTCAAGTAAATGTTGATTACCCCATTATGAGCTTACCAAGTTTAAGTTCTTAAGCTGAATGTCTATTTAACTCGTAGTTCATTGAAATATTCTTTATCATTTACTAAAACGAAAGCTTGAGCTCGAGATGGGAATCCAATATGTTGTGCGCACCACTTCATGAATCACGCACGTGGGAGTAAACACCCTTAGTATCGGAACTATGATCCACATGCTATATTACCAAATGATGGTCCCGACACACACACATATGTGTGTGTGTGTGAAGCCACCTTTTTGTTTGCTTTTTCTATCGATGCATGATGGAATGGACCTTCTAATGTTCACCTCCACATAAGTTCCAAAAGTTTATAGCATATGATGCTATAAACTTTTATAGTTTATTAGAAAATAGAGACAAAAATAATGACATGGTTATGATACACATTGGGAACACAAACGTCCTCAAGAAGCATCTTGCATCTCTTCGGTCACTTTAGGGGGTATTTGGGATTGCTTATAAAAACAAGTTATTGATTTATTCCGGTACAATACCGGTAATAAGCATTTTTGAGTGTTTGGATAAACAACTTATACCGGTGCCAAACCGGTAATAAGAAGTTTTTGAGGAAGTTAAATTCTTTTGACTTATAATAAGTTAAGTCCTTTTGTAGAAAAACATAAGTTATTTCAAATAAGTAATTCCAAACATTCCGTTGATGCGGAGATATTTTATGTTATGTATCTTTCTCAACCAATCCCATTGCCCTTCATTCTTCGAGAATCAAAAAAGATCATTTTTCAAGTTTGAATTTGTTCATTTGGAAGTTCTTTTACGCTATTTTTATTATTGGTTTTCATTTAATACGAATATTTTGCAGAATTAGAGTCCAAAAAGGCTTATGCGTGAGTAATTTTCAACTGAATATGTAGTGTTTGCACCATGCGACACTGCAAATTTCCATTTCACTTTGCGGTCCACTTGCAAGATTATTTACTTTTGCTCCGGATACTAATATCCAAAGCAAACCCAGCTCAATTTTCCCTTTACCCACTTTGATTTCATCATATCAAACAAAAAAGATACTGTGTTTTCATCATCTCATCCACAGGTATGGAAATTAAAATCTGTTAGGCATAACAGTTTATTCACAAGTTGCTTCCTCTTGATTTCCCAATTAAACTCTCTATGTGTATACGGATGTGATTGTGTTTTGGTTTCTAATTTTATGAGGCTATTCTGTTTTCACAGATGTTCCTGAATTTTGTTCTAATTCAGGGATTTCTTTCTAATATGTAGACCTTATCCAGTGCTTAGGGATTTGTGTTTTCTGGGTTAATTCTTTGATTCACCTTTTTGACCTGTTCAGATCTATATTATTTTAATTGCAAGTGCGTTAGGAGTCAGTTCTGCCTTTTCTATTTTCACTTATAGTTTTGCAGCTCTAAATTGATCGATTGATGCTTGTTGGTTGCCTTTTGGGCATATATCTTAGGTTAAGTTAGATCTGTTGGATCTGAGTTTGATCTCAATCTAATAATTTTCTGAATTGATCAGTTGTTTATGAATATCAAAATTACAGGCTTGTTTTTTCCTTGTTTTGTTAGGGTTTAGTAGACATTTGGGTCTGAGCTGCATTAGTTGGAAGCAGAGACTTTTGGGATAAAGTATATGCAAGCCCTCTGAACTTTTAGTTGTTTGTAATTCACATAGTTTCCCTTGATAATATGATCCTCTATGTTATTGAGGTTTAAAAGTTTGCTTTTGGTTTCTAATAGCTTCATAAGTTGGTTAATTGAAGATATGCATGATTGTATGACAACCTTAGCCCAATTAGTGTTGAGTGCTCATGCAAAGCATCCTCTTTGTGTGATTTGATCTAATTTTAGGCTTTTTGACCATTAGCTTTAGCCCTTAAAAAACCTAGCACCTAGCGTGAATCGAACCTAGAACTCATGCCACAGTGGATACAAGGCCCGAAGGGATTGACTGCTAGGCCAATCCATTCAGGCTCCCAAGAGTTGTTATTAATCAAGACAGAAGAAGGTCAGATCCGAACTTGCAGACTATGATTAACAAATAGACAAAGCAATCTTAACCTTATGAAGGAAATTCTACCCTATAGATATTTAAAAAGTTCATGTCTATGAGAAGCTACAGTTTTGCTCCAAGTGTCAAACATTAGATGATCAATTTGTGAATTAGGAGATAACTATGTAGTATAAAATTCAGGATTTCAAGTTTGACTCCATTTTGACTAGAGTGAATGAGCATTTCAACTGTAAAACTTTAACAAATCAGTGTTAACTAACCGTGAGATTTGGATCCTTAGGTATCAAATATGCTATGTATCTGTGGCTTTGAGTTTCCCGCACACTACAGAGAATCTCAGCTTTTGTTCATTCATATCATTTTCATACGTCTTCCATTTTGTGGGTTCCATCTTCATTTCTCCTCACATGAAGTAAATGCACATGTAATCATGTATTTGCTTATTCCATATAAATGACACACACAAAGTAAAATGTGTTATGACCAAACTGAATTGTACCTTAGATCTTTTTTTGTTAACCTTGGGTTTCTGGGTCACCTTGCATGCACTTCAACTAATCGCAAGGGGCCCTGTAGATAACAGCCAGGAAAATCCCTGGTGGTCTTCAGGAGACTCACCAGCTCAATTGGCAAATAAAGACAGAGCCCCAAGGCCTGGCCTTAATTTGCCAATTGAGCTGGCCCTCAAGGTTACCTTTGATCATTTGAAACTGGATGTGATCATTTGGATACTTTCTTTTTTCTGTTTCTGTATTCTAATATGTCTTGTGTCTCTAACTATTGATAATGCTGCAGATAAGATGCTTTAAATAAGAGTCCAAGAAAAGCTCCTGTGTAACATCTTCAAGATGGGCACAGAACTCATCAGGCATCACGTTAAAGAAGAGAGCATGGAAATTTCATCTATTCCACCAGGTTTTGAGTCACTTACAGCCTTTTCCCTAAAGAGAGTAGATGATAGTGAAGTTGCATCTAGTTCCTCTGCCCCCATGAGTGCTTCTGGTTCACAGACAGCAAAGAAGGAACCAAGGCTTGGCTATATTGAGGATGAAGGTGTAAATAGGTCTATTAAACGTAGACCATGGATAGACCACAGTCAAATTAATAGCAGTTCTGGAGATGAATCTGATTCTTTGCAGGTCCGTTAGATTGTAAATCCTTATTTTTACTTCATTTGTTTTCTTAACTTCTTTTTCTGTAGTTCTTTTTTTCGAATAATGCACCCTGGGTCACAAAAAAGCAACAAAGTTACAATTTAGAACCCCTTTTTGAAAATTTTATCATCTATAGAAATATGAGTAAAAAGATTATTTATCAGTTCTAAAAAGGAAGGTCATTTATGAAATTGAAGTTTGTCTTGATGTTAAGTTTTAGTATGGGCTCTTTTCATGGGACGAAGACATTATGAAAAAAGTACTTTGTTTTTGCGAAGGATGGAGTAATGCTTTTGATATAATACTGCCAACTGAGGAGAATAGTTTATTATGATGCAGAATCGAACTTCAAGTGCTCAGCTCCCTAAGGGGGTTGTCCGTGGTTGTGAAGACTGCAGTACCTGCCAAAAGGTTATTAATAAATCCTCCCTCTTTTTTAAGATTTTTTTCTTTTTGATAACCATGGGTGTCCACCTTGGCTAATCTCACAGGGCCCTGAAATTAACAGTCGGGTCTGGAAAACCTCCGATGGCTCTGAGGAGACTCGAACCGGTGACCACTAGAGAGCAACCCAACTGCAGCCTGAATGGCTATATTAGAATCGCTTGATTTCCCCATGCTTATCTTTCTTTAGGGTTGCCATGGCCTACTAAATTGGCTGAATGCTCAAATTTACAGACATTAGTTTTTGAGTTCGAACATGATGGCGTAATCATTATCTTATTAATGTTTGAAGTTCAAAACCATGTTCACCTCCTTCGTTGAAACTGGCTCATGGCTCTAAATTCTGTACATTCCTATCACAGAAATATTAAACCATTAACATGCATTTCTTAAAGATCGAAAGTGCTTTAATGGGTGTTTCTACCAAATGCAACCTGAAATAAACACGTGATTATGTTCTTGCTTATCTTTATTCCTGCTATCTGTTTGCTCACGCTCTTGCACAAGCTAGGGGTTTTCACGGAAACATCCACTCTACTCTATGGTGTTAGAGTAGACGTCAAGTCTGCGTACATCTTACCCCCAAGACCCTACTTTTGAGTGGGATTTATTGGGTCCGTTGGTTTGGTTTATTCTGTTCTTGATTATGTTATGTTTGCTTTTACATATACTCCAGTTTAAAATTTCTTTATCCAGGTCATTGCAAGATGGCATCCTGGTGAAGCTCGCATGCCTGATCTATTTGAGGCTCCTGTTTTTCACCCGACTGAGGAGGTATCTCTCTCCCTCTCTCTCGTCTTCCCGGACCCTGTAAGGTTAGATTTCTAAACTCATTTCATTTGATTCCAGGAGTTTGAAGATACTCTTAAGTACATTGCAAGCATACGTGATGAAGCTGAACCTTATGGCATTTGCCGTATCATACCACCTCCTTCTTGGAAACCTCCATGCCCTCTCAAGGAAAAAACGGCGTGGGAAAGTTCAACTTTTGCTACTCGCATCCAAAGAATTGACAAACTTCAGAATCGGGATTCGTTAAGAAAATTGCTTAGACCTAATTACCACAAGAAGAGGAAACAGAGAAGATGCATGAAATCAGGGTCAGATAACGCAGGGCCTGTTGAACTCATAGTTTCTGAAGATGGTTTTGGTTTTGAACCTGGTCCAAGGGTCACCCTTAAAGACTTTCAGAGATATGCAGACGATTTCAAAAACCAGTATTTCAGGAAAAATATAAGTACCACAGATGCTGGGGGAAACTCCATTCTCCACGATAAGTGGGAACCCTCAGTAGAAATGATCGAGGGTGAATATTGGCGTATGGTAGAGAAGCCTACTGAAGAAATCGAGGTAACTAAGGATGACGAGCTTCTGCATGACTGCATTGTCTTCCATGTTAAATACTCCATCCGTCCCAAAAAAAAAGTGTCCACATTTCTATTTTAGTTTGTTCCAAAATAAGTGTCCACTTTTAAAAGTAAGTGCCTATTTACCAGTTCTACCCTTATTATCAGATGGAGAAATTCATTACCCCCTCTATTGTTGAGGGTAAGATTGTCATTTAGTTAATTAAATTTTTTAATAATTACACATTTCTAAAACTGTGTGCCTTTTTCATTGTGGAATTTATTTTGGTACGGAGGGAGTAACGCATTCTAAAACTGTATGCTCTCATTTGTCTTTCTTTTAGCTATAATCATTTTTGCGACACTATAGGTGCTTTATGGTGCTGATTTGGAAACTGGCTCATTTGGTAGTGGCTTTCCAAGACAGCCTAATCAAGTTGCAAGCGCTTCAGATGAAAAGTATGTTAGATCTGGTTGGAACTTGAACAACCTTCCTAGGATTCCAGGGTCGGTGCTTTCTTATGAGAGCAGTGATATATCTGGTGTTTTGGTCCCTTGGTTGTATATCGGAATGTGCTTTTCATCATTTTGTTGGGTGAGTGAATATTATTATTTAGATTTTCTTTGATTCTCCTGAGACGTTTCTTTACTGTTGAACATCACAAGACTTAAATTGGTACTTTATTTGTTAGTGTCCCACATCCTTGGACTATTTCTCCTCAATATATGCTGGAATTTCCCTTCTCTCCTCAGGGGCTCTTTTGGAGAGTAATCTAATGGGGTTCCACATATTCTGACATGGTATCAGAGCCAACGTCTACTACTCTAGGGCTCGACAGTCCAGGGGAAATCTGTACCCGTTTAGCCCCCTCTCGACACTTTGGGACAATCTATGCCCGTCTGGCCTCTGTTGGAGGGGGCATGTTGGAGTCCCACATTGGCTACACTTGGACCATTTCATTTTAATATATGTTGAAACCTCTGTTCTCTACCAATGGCTCTTTTGGAGAGTAATCTTATGGGGTTCCACATATTCTCACATTATTGTAGAATAAAGTAACATGGTATCAATATATGCTGTTATCATCAAATTTTAGTAAACCAAACCAAACCAAATGCACCCGCTAAATCCCTCTCGAATTAGGGTCTGTGGAGGGTAATATGTATGCAGACCTTTCTGAGGCTGTTTACGAGAGCACCTCCAACCTGCAAAAGTTTTGTGGAAAAGGTTTTGCCAATAAATTATGGAGGACTCTTAGCGTGATAGCTAAAAAAGGAATTACTCAATTCATCATGTCTTGGTAATTTAACAAGTATGAAGAAATAAGAAAGTTCAGCGTAAAGGTATTAGTTCATTCATTGGGAAGAAGGTTTTGCATTCTCATATAGAATTTGTTTGTTTTGTTTTGTTTTGTGATTGCTTCATCATTCCCTACTTTCATCTCCAATAAACAGCATGTTGAAGATCATCATTTGTATTCGATGAATTACATGCATTGGGGCGCTTCAAAATTGTGGTATGGTGTACCTGGGAAAGATGCCATTAAATTGGAGGCGGCTATGAGAAAGCATTTGCCTGATCTTTTTGCCGAACAACCAGACTTGCTTCATAAACTGGTGAGTAGTTACCTTGAGTCCATATTTGAACCAAATGGCACCATCTCAAGATTCAACGAACATCCTGGAGATATTACTTTAGTCAAAGCTTAAAATTTGCTTGTTTGGGTTATTTTATCGATCCTAGACCCTGCTTTCGAGCAGGATATACGGGGTTTCTTTACAATAGTTCGTCTTGATGTTTTTTTCAAAATAAAAACAACTTGTTTTAATTAAAGTTAATAGACTTATATGAGACAGAGGTGTTTTGGTTTGATTACCAAGAGTTTGTAACCTCTTGTGATTTTTTTTACTTGTAATTCAGGTCACACAACTTTCCCCGACCATACTAAAATCTGAGGGTGTTCCTGTTTTTCGATGCGTTCAGAATCCAGGAGAGTTCGTTCTGACCTTTCCTCGAGCATATCATTCAGGGTTCAATTGTGGGTTCAACTGTGCGGAGGCTGTAAACGTAGCCCCAGTTGACTGGTTACCTCATGGGCAAAATGCCATTGAGCTCTATCGTGAGCAGGGCCGGAAGACTTCCGTTTCACATGACAAACTGTTGCTAGGAGCTGCAAGAGATGCTGCAAAAGCTCACTGGGAACTTAATTTACTCAGAAGGAACACTCCAAATAACTTAAAATGGAAGGATGTCTGTGGGAAGGATGGGATTCTATCAAAAGCACTCAAGGTAAGTTTTTTTCCTTGTAATCATGGGCGTCCGGACTAGTTTGCATGCACCTCGACTAATCCTATGAGGCCTTGAAGTTAACAGCCAGCAAACCCTCTGATGGCCCTGAGGGTGTGTTTGGTATGTGGGTCAATACAGGACAATATAGAATAAAAACTTGTTCTCCCATGTTTGGTGCGACAAAAATGCATTTTTTCTGTTTTCATGGAAATAGGTAAAACAAAAGTCAGGATGATAGGGACAAACTTGGTAAATTACTAAACTATCCATGTCAAATTTAAAACCTAAAACCTTCCACAATTCTTTCCCACTGCCTACCTCACTCTTGTCTGGCCAATTTTGTCCAATCCTATCTGCGTAAGATGTACCCTGGGACTTGAACCGGTACCTCTGGGGAGGAAACCCAAATTTTTACCAATTAGAGCAAATCAAAAGGTCTTAAAAATAGATATTTCACCAAATTACATTGGTATTACGAGCAACTCCATAAAACAACAAAAATATATGTCTAGCAAGATCTGCCACATTAAAATATGCAATTAGCTAGAAACAGATGCAATTTGGTGGAACCTATCGTTAAAAATGACCATTATTTCTTCTTAGGCACGTGTGGAGATGGAGCGGATGAGGAGGGACTTCCATTGCAAGAGCTCGCAGGCGTTAAAGATGGAGGCCACTTTTGATGCCAACAGTGAGAGAGAATGCAGTGTATGCTATTTTGATCTACATCTCTCTGCTGCAGGTTGTCACCGCTGTTCACCCAGCAAATATTCATGCTTAAATCATGCAAAACAGTTCTGTTCTTGTTCTTCGGCAGCAAAATTTTTCCTTTTCCGTCATGATATCAACGATTTAAGTATTATGGTTGAAGCTTTGGAAGGAAAATTGAGTGCCATTTACAGATGGGTAAAACTTGATCTTGGACTTGCTCTAACTTCCTACGTATCTAAAGATGATAATTCTCCAAGCAAGAAGGAACTTCCATCTTTATCCCCAGAAAAACCTTCAGTGATCAAGCCTTCATTAATGGTGAATGATAATGTTATACTTATTAGTGATGATGAGGGTGAAATTAGTACAGCCACTGTCAGTGAGATGGATTCAACTTCGGCTTGTGATGGTGAGGCTCAAGGAGACGATGCTCGTGGGTCCCATCCGGAAAACATTTCTTGCCACGGAGTGTTCTCGAAAGATGCAAATCCTGAGAAATCTCATGATCTCTCGAGTACAAAAGAGACTGGTCGTTTCAACGGGGAAAATCCTAGCGGCCCCCTGCAGGAAACCCCACAATGTGGCAGTGGAATGCAGAAGAATGAGGAAAGACAGAAGACGAATGCATTGGATTTGAACTCGAGGTCAACAGATAATGCACGAATAGCATCGGGGAACCCATCATGCATCCAGAATAGTTTGGATAGGTACTATCGCCAGAAGGGTCCTCGAGTGGCCAAAGTTGTACGAAGGATAAACTGTAATGTTGAGCCTCTGGAATTTGGTGCAGTGCAATCTGGACATTCATGGTGTGACAATCGTGCCATTTACCCTAGAGGTATGATACATTAGACCACAAAAACAACTGCTTTACTCTTTGGGCAGAGGTCAGGTCTCTATACATCCCACCCTCCCCAGACCCCACCTTCGGGTGGGATAAACTGGCTAGTTCGGTTTATATGTTACATCAGCCTGCAAAAATAACTACTTTACTCTTTGGGGTAGAAGTCAGGTCTGTGTACATCCCCCCACCCCCCGTTACCCACCTTCGGGCAGGATATACTGGACTCATTTCGTTTGTATGATACATCAAATCAAAAGATTTGGCAGTCTTGGGAATTATGTTATTGGGAAAAATGGGAGGCTGAATTTTGTGTTTTGTGCAGGTTTCAGGAGTCGAGTTAAGTACATAAATGTTTCAGATCCTACAGACATGTGTTACTACATTTCGGAGATCCGGGATGGAGGACAGGATAGACCTCTATTTGTGGTATTTGTGAATCATTTGCCATTCTGATAATACGATTAAATTTACTATTGGATGCAATTTTATATCATTCTGACATGTAAGAAACTCATGAAAACTGTCCTCTCTTTTTGCAGGTTTCGTTGGAGAAGTGTCAAAATGAAGTATTTATTCATTTATCAGCTGCAAAAAGTTGGGAAATGGTTCGGGAGAGAGTAAATCACGAGATCTCAAAGCAACATAAGCTAGGAAGGTTAAAACTTCCTCCTTTGCAGCCTCCTGGGAGCCTCGATGGTATGGAAATGTTTGGATTTTCCTCACCCTCCATCTTGCAGGTGAATCTGTACTTCCAGATCCAAATTGTTGTTTATCAAATCAAACCAAACCAAACCAAACGAACCCATTATATCCAATATATAGGTAGGGTTTGGGCACTCTACCCCAGAAAATAGGTGGAGATCGTCTAGAAAATAGGTGGGACTTAAATGAGAGAGATGAGTTAAAATTGGTAAATTACTTAACTGCCCATTTCAAATTAAAACCATAAAGCCTTCCACGATTCTTTCACTCGCCAACCTCACTCTCGCATGCATAGTCCTATCCTGTCCAGTTCCGTCTAGTCCTATCTGCATACTTAACGCACCATAAGATGGGACATAATACAACAAAAGTTTTTTGTCCCACATTTGGCATGACATTATGCTAGGACAGAACGGGATTGAGTAGGACAAAACTGCATTTTTTTTTTGTCCCAACAAATAAGTGGAACGAAAAACAGTGTTTGTATAGACAAAATTGGTAAATTACAGAAAGACCCATATCAAATTAAAACCTAAAACTTCCACAAACTTTCACTGGCCTACTTCACTCATCCATGATCCATCCAGTCTTGTTTGGTTACCAAACGCACCATCATTGCTCTTTTCTTTCCCTTTAACATTGCCGTCTAGTCTATATGCATGTTAACATATCGTTCCAACGTCATTTGACAGCGAATTCAGTCGATGGACAGGCATCGGCTATGCAAAGAGTACTGGGAATCACGGCCTTTCCATTCGCAATCCCATAATGATGATCAGAATTCATCTGTGAAGTTTCAGGAACCAAATCATCCCGATTCTGTAATGGCTAGCCTGTTCAAGAAGGCAAGTTTAGACGAGTTAAACATATTACAGAGTGTTTTAGTTAACGGTGATTCAACTGCTAATCGAGCCAGGGTTGCAAGACTTCTCACTGAAGAGATGCGCAAGCGGTCAAGATAACCCGTAAAGATTCCAAATCTTGACCGTAAAGATTCCAATTGGAATTTAATTTCTAACTCTGTAAATACTTTGATCATGTTTAGTTACTTACAGGCTTTAGAGCAACATGTAAACGACCTAATTTGATAGAAGTGATGCTAGCAAACGTATTCTTCTCAATGTTCCTCCAAATTGACATTGGGGTTATTCATTATTGTGCTCGGAGAGTTTTGTAGGGGTTAAAGTAAGGAGAAACGGGAGATTGTCGAGTTGGGTGAATACTCGTGTTTGTTTTCGACATCACATTTATCCAAAACAGGCTATTTTTTGAGTTATCAATTTGCTTGTTATTGATGTTCATCTTACTGTTTGTTTTGTCTTGCTACATCCTTTTGGTCTCGTCATTTCTTATTGATGAACTGGAAGTCGACCTCGCCTTAAATGTCACGCAAAAACGCAAACTTCCCTCGGAATCGATTTGCTCCATTGAGTGATGGTGCCATGAGACGAAGAACTAAGGAGATTCTCATCCACCAATTCTTTGAAGCCCCTTGCTCATAATACAACATCCTCATCCCTTTGTTTCTCTCATTCCTAAAAATATGCTAAGGCGCCGTTTACCTAAACAGTTACCGATAAGTGTTTAACGGTAAAATTTTACGTCACCACTTACTAATGGGTAAGATTTTAGTTTACCAAAACGACATTACATGTAACAATTTACCCAGTAAGCGTTCACCGTGGTAAGAGTCGTCTTCATCACTTACCGGATAAAACTCTGGGTCCTTGCTTTCACTTTTACCGGGTAAGATTCTTGGTCCTTTCACATGGTGATGCCATTTGACCATAAGAAATGAATATATGAATAATATATATATATATATATATATATATATATTTACAAAATCAACATTGTTCTTATTGGTCCTTTCACCGTTAGTTCTTTGTTTTTCCTAGGTAAGGTATTGTGATAATGTCTTTATTGCAAGTTTTTTTAGAAAAATAATAAATGTGAAATTAAAAACTTACAACTAAGAAAATGACACAACAAGATTCAGATGAGAGAAAAACCATGTAAATCAATTCTACCAAAATAAACTTTGTTCTTATTGTAATTTCAAAATATATATGGTTGTACATAATAAAATGATACAGTGATACATTTCACGACCTTAATTTTTTACATTACAACGAGGAAACGAAGGGGAGCAGTGGCCCATGAGAGTACCGTATGCAATAGAGTGGGTCTACCCCTTAATGGTTTACGTTTAGTACTTAGTCGTGTGGTCAATGATATACATGAATCAAGGACTATCAATAACATTATTTGATATATCCATTTTAATTAAATTTGAATGAATTATATGATCTCTTTGGTGCTAAATGTTCTTGATATAGTGCACGTGTTATAAAAAGTTAGTTTATTTGTCTAAAATGTTGGGTTTTTTTAATCAAGACATGCATTTTAAGTATTATATATATATATATATATATATATATATATGATAAAAATCACATATATTTTACATTTTTTGTAAGATTCAAACTCTAAATCTTTACAAAAGATAATATCTATCGGAAACCTCTGAGTGTGTGGGGCTTATACTTAACTCATATCTTGTTATATTTTCTTTCAACATGATGCACAAGTATAAAATATTACAAGATTGATTGATCTATATCATGTGAAGGTCAAGCCGTGTTTTTTTATTGCTGTTGGCAACATCATTTTGGAACTGTTTATTAAATGCTTATCAGATAATTGCACTTTATTAGGATCAAGTTTTGAGCCTTAAATGTTGTATCAAAGCTTTAAACTTTGTGTTTTCTCTCTTTTGTGTGTGTGTGTATATATATATATATATATATATATATATATATATATATATATATATATATATATATATATAGGGGAACGTTCAAATAAAAACCACCTAATTTGTACAAACCGTACAAACTTCATTCAACT